CCCAGAATTCCCCAGCCAGCTTTGCTTTAAGCCTGGAGGACTTCAACGCCCAAAATTCCCCAGCCAGCTTTGCCTTAAGCCTGGAGGACTTCAACGCCCAGAATTCCCTAGCCTGGCCCTATTCCATGGATACTAACCACAGTTTATGACTTAGCCTGTGGTGTGGGTTGACCCAACATGTTTAAGCGTTAAAATAAGTTCCAGGTTACAAACGCCTCAGCTTCACAAGGTATTCCGCCGTCGGAAACCCAACCAACCCCCGCTGCAGCTTAGCGTACCAGGCGAACCCAAGGAGTTGATACTCGCTGAGGCGCCCGACCTATTTTCTGCCGTCTCTCTCTCTCTTTTTCTGGCACTCGCCCCAAAGATTGGCGGGCCTGGCTGGAAGCTCTCCCTTACTGTCGTCGTGCCAAGCGACCCGATGTCGGGGGGAGGGGGCGTTGCGGCCGGCTCCCGGGGGGGGGGGGGGGCGAGCGGCCGCAGAGGTTCAATACGGCTGGAGGAGGAGGGGGAGGAGAAGCAGCAGCAGGTGCGGCGGCGGCTGCAGTTGTTACCTTTACCTCCGGGAAAGGAGGAGACGGGGGCGGGAGCTGGGTCAGGGGGCCGGGCTTGCAGGTTGAGAGCCAAACGGAGGAGAGCCGCGGCGGGAGAAGGAGAAAGCGAGAGGCAAGACGCCGCCGCCGCCGAGCCTCCCAACCCCCCACTGGAGAAAGGAGGCGATCCGCAGCCGCGAGAGGACCGGATCCCGCTGTGGCTGAGCGCAGCGAATGCGGCTCCTTTGTACCCTCCTCCCGCTCGATCCTCGGCGAAGGGATATCGGCCGTCCTCCCTCCCCCACCGGCGTGCTTAATGGGCGGTAGCGCGGACTGGCGGAGGACCCGCAGGAGCCGTTCGCCGGTTCCACCCAGCTCCCGCCACCAACAAGAGATCTTTTAGATCTTTTCTCGCCAGTCGATCCCGGATCCCCCCAGTCCCATAGACCCGGCGGGGGCCGGTGGTCGGGCCCGCCGGCGATCCTCGGCAGCGGAAGAAACGGGCCCCGCGTGTCCGGGGGAGAAGCGGGTACGGCGAAAGAGACGCAGGGGAGGTTTTTAAGGGCAACGTGGAAAGGGGAGTGCTGGGTGTGGCGGCCGAGGAGGGCGGCCGGCGGGGGCCGTGCTTGGGAAACGAGGCGAAGAGCAGAAGGTGGGCGGGCGACCCTCGGATCTCCCGGGGATCTCGCCGCCTCTGAGAGCTGTTCACACCTATGCGCGACTTCGCCGAGGATCCCGCAGGCGAGCCTTCCGTCCCCCAGCCCGGCCGGCTTACGAAACCGCGGATCTTGCCCCGGGCGCCGCCTCCTCCTCGGCTCTCCTCTATGTGAGGTTGCCTTTCCTCCTCCTGCTGGATGGCGATTGACCGGCGCCGAGAGGAGGGTGGCGGGGGGGCCCGGCCCCTCCCCGAAGAGAACGGCTCTTTGCCTGCCGGGGAGGCGGACCCGGCCATTGCAGCTCCGGCCGCACCCCCTGCAGGGGGTCCCTCGGCGGAGATCCAGAGCCTGCCTCTTCCCACGCCTCCCTCCGGGTCCTGCAGCCCCCTGCTTTTGGATTACGATGGCTCCGTGCTGCCCTTCCTGGGGAGCCTGGGCGGCGGGCACCAGAAAACCTTCATCTTCCTCACCTGGATCCCCGCGCTTTTCATCGGCTTCAGCCAGTTCTCGGACAGTTTCCTCTTGGTGCAGCCCATCTCTTGGTGCAAGGGGACGGATGGGCAGAGCAACTGGACCGAGTTCCCCCCGCAAACGCCAGCCAGGGGCCTCGCCCCAAGCCCCAGCCCCAGCTACTACAACCACAGCAACCACAGCTACAGTAGGGGGATCCTGGCCGCCCCGGAACTGCCCACTCCTGAGGGAAAGAACGACAGTTACTGCCACTGCAGTGAGAGGTACCATCGGATCCCTGCAGGCCTACAGCAGAATATCGTGAGCAAGGTAAGAGGAATGGAGGTAGGAGGCTGATTTGGGGAGTGGGAAGCCGCCTTGCCTCCTCTCCAGGGGCAGTGTGGCTCATTGGGACTGTTGGCCTCTTCCCTGCAGCACAGTTTAAAGCAGGAGAGGTGGCCCATCCTCCTACCTGTATCCCTTATATGTGGGGAACGGGGAGGAGGAGCGGACCTTGCAACTTCTGGTGAAGTTCTTCTCTGCAGTCTACATTAGCTGCAGGGGAACGAATGGATGAGATCATGTGCTGCTTCAGTTCCTTGAATGCAGTTCTTGAGTTAGGGGTTTTCTGGTTGTGCAGAGGCTTAATATATGCCTGAGCTTTAGAAGATTCCACAGCAGGAAGGGAGGCAACAAGAATTTGGAGCAGGGCATTTACATTTTTAATACCTCTGCATGGACAAAGGATGCCTTGTCATGGGACATTGCAACAGCAACAGCCGACTAGATTAGAAGTAGATTAATATAAGCCTGTGGTTCTCAACCTGTGGTCTGTGGTTCCCTGGAAGGGGGGGCTGTGATGTCATCACAGGGGATAGAATCATAGAATAACAGAGTTGGAAGGGACCTTGGAGGTCATCTAGTCCAACCCCCTGCTCGAGCAGGAGAGTCCGAGAAGGATCCGAGAAAGCTTGAAGAAATGTTATGGTTTAAATCTTGAATTAATTTTCGTGGGGTCTGTGGCCTCAAAAGGTATTTAAAGGGGGGGTCAGTGGTGAAGGAAAGGTTAATATAAGCTACTCAACCACATTTTCACCCAGTGTGAATTCAGCCCCTTGTAGTCAAATGGTATGTCAGGTGACCCAGAAAAATTGGGTTAATGGAATAACTGTGGCTAAATTAATGATGGCAATTAAGCTGTACAAAAGCAGCTTAGTTGTATGGGAGTGTTGATTATGAGCTGTAATATTTCTTAAGCTGCTTCTCAAACACAATATTGACATGAACCTAATAAAGAATGTGTGCTCATTTTGCATGGTTTCCCCCCCCCCCAAAAAAAACTTACGTTGGTTGTGTTTGAACTGCATTCCTATAATACCTTTATTTTTTAGGGGAAACCCTCCTAAGGATGTCCTTTGCCCTGATGACTAAAGTGAAAGGATCTCTTGTTACCTTGGGATTCTTTGACTGCTTTAAGTCAGTGAGATATGAGCATATATTTTCACAATCAATAATATGTTTGTAAGCGAAGCTCCTATGATAAGGAGGTCCTTTTTAATGTTGCTGTGAAACAAAATCATAAATGAAGTTTTGGATTCTTAATGGCATCATTCAGACAAACCAGATGACCCATACTACAACACAGGACAATGCCTGCCTAGCTTCTAGAGTCTACACAAAAATTCCAATTCATGCATTTTTCACTTGGGAATTTTGCTTCATAAGCACTTGGGAATTTTCACTTGGGAATTTTGCTTCATAAGCACTTTTGCCATATGATGATATATATATATATATATTTGGTGAAGAGCAAGTTGACACAAAACAGGCTTAAAACACAAGGGGACCAAACAAGAGCTGTTAGTTTTAGACTACAAATGCTAATCCTGCACTTATGAAGAAGTGAAAGTGTCATTGATTAGGCTGGTACACTTGCACAGTAGTCTAATTCCTAATGTGATTTGACGGATTACTGTGAACTAGCCATTATGTTTTATCAACATGAATTTATAATTAGCCAGTTGCTAATTTAATAAATCATGGTTAAAGCCAAATAGACCTTAACATGACTGCACCTAGTCGATAAACTGATGGAGCTAGTTAGAGATACACTGACTACTTCAATAGAATGAAGGTTTCTATCAAAGACACCAAAAAATTGTGTTCCAAAATTACAGCAAAGCAATTTCACTATCATTCATGATATATTGATGTTAATTTGGTATAATCTCAAATAAATGCTAAATTTATTTCGGACTTTTTTTATCATAGTATGCAGAAGAGTAAGAATCACAAATAGGACTGGTGCTCTTAAGGATGGGATTGCAGTATAATGTTTTGATGCAGGAGCTCGTTCTTAATATTTAGAATGTATTCCTCACTTGCTTCCTTTAACAGTTGGTTCTTTTTTCTTTGGGAACAGATAGATAGCTGTTTTGGTGTTTTGCATCTTCTCTAGCCTCTGGCATCTAAATTGAGCCAGATCTGTGTACTATTTGGATGGCAGATTAACTAGGGAATCCCAAAGCTACAGGTTAGTATAGAAAGTTAAAAAAATAATCCAGAAAAAGGCAGTAGCAAACCACCTCCAAATTGTTGCTAAAAAGCTGCATGAAGATACTATGAAGTCATCAGGAGTCATGTTCAACTCAAGTTGCCTGCCTTTCCAGCATGACTCAAATAAACAACTACACTATAAAATGAAACTGTTCATCATGATTGTATTGTAGTTCCCTTAGTCCCCAAACACCAAAGCTCAGCAAAATGCAATCCTTCTGGGAACCGTGTTAGAATTAACTGACCGGTGGTTTGGGCTAATCAAGTGAGTGCATTCTTGCTTTATCTTGCAGTTTTCACTGCCTGGTGATAAGGATTAAATATTGTTTCAATTCCTCTTGAAAGTGGTAGAGGACCTACCTTAGTTTATTTTTAAGAGATGCAACAATGGTAAGTAATGGTAGGTAAAACATGGTATCTTGACAGAGTGTGAATTGTTTTAGTTGTTACATTCCTAATCTATTAACTGTGGTTAAGAATTCATTTGTTAAAGAAATTATAGAGGTACTCCACTTGCAAAAATGTGACTCCTAGGGGTATACAATAATAAAAATGAGATTAGTGTCACCTGCAACAGAAGAACTGAAAATCAATAAAGGCAACAAATCCACAGTTGGGACACATCAACCTGTATTTTACCACCCAAGATGGACTCCTCTAACATCCTGGCTCAACCAGTGAAGAAATAGCCAGTCCTCAACGCCTTCTTGAAGACTAACAGAATTGGGGACAACCAAATCTTGAACAGAAAGTGGGAGAGATTGTTCTCTAGGGCAGCAGAAGAGACAGATTCTTCCTAAATCTCATCAGATGACATTGTCCAAGGAAGAGGACTGGGACACACCCATTCTGTGGACCTTTAGAAGAAGCCCATAACTCAAATTGTTATTTATTTTCTTACTCTCTAGGACAGGGGTCTCCAACCTTGGCAACTTTAAGACTTGTGGACTTCAACTCCCAGAATTCCTAGCTGGCTGAGGAATTCTGGGAGTTGAAGTCCACAAGTCTTAAAGTTGCCAAGGTTGGAGACCCCTGCTCTAGGACACAGAGGGCAGGACAAGAAGTAATGTGTGGAAGCTTCTCTAAGAGAGATATAACCTAGAAGTCAGGAGTGATTTTCTGACAGAGCAATTAATCAATAGCTTGCTTCCTGGGGTTGTAGATGTTCCATCATGGAGGTTTCCAAGAATAGTCTGGACAGCCATTTGACTGGGATGGTAAAAGGCTCCTGCACATCCTATGATTCTATGGTTACTTCATTCCTTCAGGGACAAATAATATTTCCATATGCTTTTCTTATTAATCCTATAATGCTATGTTATGATTAAAGTCCCATATATCATTTTTCATCTGCCAGAAGAAATGTAGGATTCCCCAAAAATTGTTTTCGATTTCTAGGAGTACAACGTCAATTAGCAACATTTTAAGGCAAGTGTGTGTGTGTTTTCCTAGGAGAGAGTTACCGCATTCTGGAAAACCTTTTGGAAATCAAATCCAAAGCATTGCACAGTATATATTTATTACAAAAAGGAGCACAATTTTACTGAAAACCCATATGTACTGTATGTCAAAAAGTAGGAATGAAATTCCATTATTGAAATAGGTGCTAATTTTTAGAGTAAAAGAAATATTTTTCATTTATTTTAGAGCAAGTTGCATGAAGCAAGTAAAAGGTGTATAACTTAAAAGTGATTATTGGAGGATTAGTTTATTAGACTGAAAAACCAAGAATATTTCAAAAACCTTTTTGTGAAGTAGAAGTTAAATAATAAAAAAATGAGACAAAAAAATAGGCCGAATTTTCGAGTTGCTGGCAGAAATGGGTTTTTCAACACTGTTTTATTTCATGCAGAATTATCATACGCTGCTTTTCCAGTAATGTTCCTCACTGTAACCCAGATTTAATTAAATATCTCATTTTGATCCTCTGCCTTCCTAATTGGAAACTCATACAGGAAAGTGTATTCTTGCATAATCACCAGATACCCATAGCTAAGCATTAGTGAGACAGTCCAAATTCAATGTGCTATTTCTTCTGAAAGATCCAAATTGGTAAGAAGCTAAATTACTGGCGATACCATAGTGTAATCTATTCTGCATGCAGAAAATCCCAAGTTTTATTTTTAATATCTCTTGAAAATGGGGCGCTGTGAAAATTCTGAGCTTTAGACCAAGTATGTTGTCGTTCAAGTAAATCAGCTTTCTCCAACTGATAGCCTCCAACTGATAGGACAGGGGTATTAAACTGGTGGGCCCCGGGCTGGATGTGTCACGCACAGGCCATGCCCACCCCAGCTCCGTGAATGGGAAAAATGTCACGAAACAGCCTGTGATGGCAACATGACACGGCAAGTTTGATACTCGTGCTCTAGGAGTTCTAGCACTGTTAGGCTGCATGACAGCTGTGGATAATGAGTATTGCAATTCTACAGCAGTGGGATGCCCATTGCATCATTTACCAATATGTTTATAGATACAGCCAACATATCTAGCCATTGATGGGAGTGTAATACAATTTGGGATGGAATATGTTTGTGGAAAGCCTTCTTGATTGATCTAGGAGCTTTGTTATACTTTACTCCTAGATTGATGATGGTGAGATGGAAAAACTCAGCTCTTGTGGTTATTCAGCAAATTGTGATTAAACATGGCCTTGACATTGTGTGACCCCATCCTGCTATTCCTGCTTTCTGCTAGGGCTGAATTCTGATACTGAACCCAGATTAAACTGTCAGTTTTAGCAATTAGGATTTGAAGCAGATAATACACAACCA